ATTTTCTATGCACTGTATCAGGGTAGAGAATTAAAACTACTCCTATTTGGCACAATACATATTATAAACATTTATCTCATCTCATTTCACCAAAACGTCATTGTAGTGGGAAGGATGTTTTTTCACATAAGAAATCTTCATTACATAAACGTGGTTAGTAGATTAGTAGTTACTGTTTAAATCTTGCATTTCTATTTTGCTAATAGTTAAGTAATTTAGTTTTTATCTCAACATTTGAAAATAATGGATTTGAAATTAATGACATTAATTTCAATTTTTTTTTATGAATTTCCTAGTAAATTTATCACTTCAAATTTAAACCTTCCCCGTGGGATCGATATTTAGGGCATAAATAGAAAGTCAATTATTACTTGATAACGATATGTATACTAGCGTAGAATCCCATTAATAATTTCATATCCTTATATATAGTTTACACAACTAACTTTTAGTACACGGATCAAATTTTTGGCGCCGTAGTGGTGTCAACTTCATAAATGCTTACATATAAAAAATCAGAATCATATAGTTATATATTTTCAAGTCTTATTTGAGTAAGTTATGCACCTTGTGAGTAGGTTCATGGCACTCACTTATTAAAACCGTTGTATCTTCCTTTACATCAATGAATTGGCATTCGGGCTTCAACAAAAAAAAAAAAAGTGTGTGTGTGTGTGTATCTATATGTATGCATGTATGTACGTATAAATATACATATACATACATACATACATATACATATACATATACAAATCCATATACATATATATATATGCATTTATACACGCATATATATATTTATATTTATATATATATATATATATATATTGTATATATATATATATATAACTCTAAAACATAAATATTTCATTATTCAACAATGAAATCTCTAATTTCACGTCGCAAATATCACTAATATTAATTTTTTATGTATATAATATATTGTGATTATGATTCAGTGTTTTAAACATTAATATCAAACTTAAGATGTTAGGTATGCTAATATACAAGATTTATAATATATTATAATATTGATTCATGAGAAATAGGTTATAAACATGCTTTATATTATATTTGGCTTATTTATGACATCAATGATCATACATTACATCTTGGGTTTTTTCTTTCTTGAACAATCTATTTGATATCAATTGAATGACACCATACACATTGTGAACAAAAACCTAATTTTAGTTAGAGTCAAGTAGTTTCAGTTGCCCCACTTCATTTCTCCTTTAAAACAACGGATGATTTTGAATGGTCATCCTACAACTTTCTCTTATCATATATATTTAGGTTGTTAAGTACATGTTATAAACGATATATTAAATGGATCAAAATTCAACATATATTATTATAGTCATATTAATTTTTTTATATGAAATTGGGCATGTAGGGATTGGCGAACTACTTCATATTCTTAGATCAATATATATTAACTATTTGATGAATGAAAGTTTATCTAGAATCATTCTCTAGGGACTCACTAAATTATAATCTCGCACCATGGGATTTGCCACACTTGAGTCTTGCTTAGTGTTTGAAAAGACCAAAGACTCATAGGAGTTATAATCCGTAAAAATCATTTTATCATAACTAAAACATCAGCCCTAATATCTTTTGTTATTATTTGCTAAAAAGAATGAATAAATTGGGATCAAGATTTAGCAATATATAAAAAATCAAACTCCTCTTAAACCAAAAGCTTGAGCCATATATATATATATATATATATATATATATATATATATATAAAAAAGACGGTATTTCAT